TCAATGTCCAATGTCTAGTATCCAATCAAAATTGCTAGGCATGTTAAGAAGCAGAAAAAATGTAACACATAATCAGGAAAATCAAGTCAATAGAAAGAAACACAGAAATGAAAAGAAGTTACATAATTAGAAGAATTAATTTAAATAAAATATATGTTAACTATGTTCAGTAATTTAAAGAAAAACATGAACAAAGAGAGGAATAAAAAATATTTAAAAGAACTAAATAGAACTTGTATAACTGAAAAAAATCTAAACTTTAAAAAGTCATGAGATTAACAGTATATTAGATGTAAAAAAAAAAAAGTCATGAAATTGAGGATATAGTAGATATAGCAAGAGAAATAATCCAAACTGAGACAAAAGAAACAGACTGGAAAATTTATTAGTGCCTTGCTGACATGTCACACCATATCACGTGGTCTAACATATGAATAATTGAGAATGTCTAAATAGGGGAGGATGGGAGTAAAAACAAATTCCCACAACTTTTCCAAATTTAATTAAAATTAATCCCATGGATCCAAAAAGCTTAATAAACAAGCAATATAAAGACCAAAATGTATCAAATTACCTCATAACTGAATTGCTGAATAATTGAAAAGAGAAAGGAAAACAGCAGGGGAAAATGGTCATTAAATATTGAGAAACAAGCATAAACATCCACAAACCTCATTAAAAACTATGTAAGCCAGAATGACATCTTTAAAGAATTGATTAAAGAAAAACCTGTGAAACTAAAGTTTTATATGGAACAAAACTGTCCTTCAAAACTGAAGGCAAAAATGCAGACATTTTTTCAGAAGTTCCAAAAAAAATATCAACAGTAGGAGAAAGCTCTTTAGGTGGAAGAAAAATAGTATCAGATAGATTCTTAGATTTACACAGAACAATAAAAAGCTCTGGAAATAATGCACATACAAGTAAATATAAAATAACTTTATTCTAATATTTAATTTTAAAATGAACTGACTCTTTTAAGCAAAATTAATTATTATGGCTGTAATAACACATAGAGGTAAATGTATGACAACAATAACAAAGGGTGGGAGAGTACAATCATCAAACATTTCTTATATTTTAGGAGAAAAAGTATACTATTTAAAGGTAGACTTGGATATGTTAAAGACATGTTGTAGGTACTAGAGAAACCATACACACAGAGAAATATAACTAAGTAGTGATAAAAATGGAATACTTAAAATCCATCCAAATGAAGATAGAAAAAGAAAAGAACGGATTTAATAATAAAGAAAACAAATGGCAAAATAATAGATTAAATCCCAAATAATCAATAGCTACATGAAACCTAGATGGTCTAAACACTCCAATTAAAAGGCAGTATCAAGAAGAATTCAAAGAAAAGGCAGTATCTGTGAAGAATTCAAAATGTTATTCTACTTAGAAGAAACAAGTTGAACTGCCACAGTTTCATAGACGCTGGCAGAAAACAGACTTACTGGGTGGAGAACAATAACTGTATTATGTCTGGCACAGCGGGCAGTATCAAACCCATGCTTTCGTTGGTTCCCTTGACTCGCCAAGCCCCATGAGGAGAGGCAGAGCTGTGCCAGGTGGATACTGTACACCGTGGGTTCATGGTACAACTAAGAAAGCCCCAATCTTACATACGGGGCTGCTAAGAAACTTGCCCAACTTTGCTCCAGAGAAAGATATTATCTCCACTATATTGGACAGTAAACAAATCTGCTGTAAACTAGCATCCAAGTTTACTTACTATATAACATCCTTAAAAAGACAGTCTAGGGCAGTGGTTGGCAAACTCATTAGTCAACAGAGCCAAATATCAACAGTACAACGACTGAAATTTTTTGAGAGCCAGATTTTTTAAACTTAAACTATATAGGTAGATGCATTGTTGTTAACTTAATTAGGGTACTCCTAAAGCTTAGGAAGAGCCACACTCAAGGGGCCAAAGAGCCGCATGTGGCTCGCGAGCCGCAGTTTGCCGACCACGGGTCTAGGAAAAAATGTTAAAACCTTTGCTCAGAGAACATACAGAAACATGCAAGACGAATGGAGAAATTTCTCCCAACAGGCAGAGATTGTCAAGCTGGATTTTAAAAAAGGCAAAAAGAACTACAGTATATCTACCGCAAACATGCGTTGCATATGAACATTGACGGGTATAAAAATAAGAAGATGCAACACTATGTCCCATGAAAACACAAATCCTAAAAGTAGAATGGCTATGTTACTAATTCGCACCCGAATTCATCTTCAGAATAAATCATATTACCGGGTGTATAGATGAACACTTTATGATAATGAAAGCTTCAATTCATCACAAAGACATAATCATAAATAGATACACCCAATAATAAAGCATCAAAAGACATTAAGCAAAAACTAGAACTTAAAAATAGGTAAACCCACAATTATAACTGAAACATAGCTTTCCTCTCTTGAAAACTGATGCAACAAATAGAAAATTATTAAAGATGTAGAAGATAGCACTACCATTCAAGAATTTTACTGCTATTTATAAGACATTCCACCCAACATCAACAGAACACCTATCCTTTCAAGTGTACACTGGAAGATGAAAATAGACCATCTGCTGGGCCTCCAGATAAATCTCAGTGAATGTCATAGAGGCTTGAAGTGATACCGAATGTGTCTTTTGATCACAAAATATATTTTAAAAATTTGAACTCCAACTATCCAATAAAATGTACAAAATATATGAACTGACATTTCTAAACAAACATGCAAGTAAACAAGTACAGTACATGAAAACATGGGAAATGCGAAATAATACTATTATATGTTCATTTGAATTCATAAAATGAAAAAGACTGATTATACCAACTGTTGGCTAGGATGAAAACTAACTAGTATTTTCTTACATCGCTGATATAAATGAAAATGGTTTAAGTACTTTGCCTTAAAAAAATTCCTAAAAGCCTTAGCTAATTTGGCTCAGTGGCTGCACTGTTGGCCCGAGGCCTGAAGGATCCCAGGTTCAATTCCATCCAGGGTATGTATCTCAGTTGCAGGCTCGATCCCAGACACCAGTCCCCATTTGGGCACTTGTAGAAGTCAACCAATCTATGTGTCTCTCCTACATTGATGTTTCTCTCTCTGTCTCTCCCCCTCCCTTCCACTCTGTCTAAAAATCAATGGGAAAAATATCCTCACTGAGGATTAACAACAACAAAAAATCCTAACAGTTTTTTCCATACTGTGAAATATAACCCACTTATTCCAATCTTAGGTGTCTCTAAAGAGAAAAATACATGTTCACACAAAGAACTGTACACCAATATTTATAGAGTTTTGTTCTTAATAGCCTCAAAATGCAAACAGCCCATATGTCAATGGATATGTAAATTCATTTTTTAAATGTGATTCATCTATATAAATGGAATGTTATTGAAGATACACGCACGATAACATTAATGAATTTTAACACTTTGTGTTGAAGAAGTACACATGATCCAAATTACCTGAAACTATAAAATATAGTCACTCTTAGAGCAGGGGTGGGCAAACTTTTTGACTCGAGGGCCACAATGGGTTCTTAAACTGGACCGGAGGGCCGGAACAAAAGCATGGATGGAGTGTTTGTGTGAACTAATATAAATTCAAAGTAAACATCATTACATAAAAGGGTACGGTCTTTTTTTTTTTTTTTAGTTTTATTCATTTAAAATGGGCCGGATCCGGCCCACAGGCCGCACGGCTGCTCTAGAGCCACAAAAAGCAAATCTGTGTTTCCTTAGGGCACAAATAAATGTATATGCCGTGTTTATGGATCAGAAGAGTTAATACTGTTAAAGTGTCCATTGTGTTCAAAACAATCTGCAGATTCAATTCAATTCCTATGGAAATTCCAATGGCATTGTTCACAGAAATAGAACTCGCAATCCTAAAATTTGTATGGAACCAAAAAAATCCCAAATTGCCAAAGCAATGCTGAGAAAGAACAACAAAACTGGAGGCATCACACTTCCTGATTTCAAACGATACTACAAAGTTATAGCAATCAAAAGGTAGAGAACTGGCATAAAAATAGACTCACAGACCAATAGAACAGAATCAAGATTCCAGAAATAAGCCACTTCTATGTGATAAGGGAGCTAAGAATATGCAACGGAGAAAGGATAGTCTCTTCAAAAAATGGTGTTGGAAAAACTGGATAATGACATGCCCCAGAATGAAATTAGCCCCCAATCTTACACACCTCACAAAAAATACTTAAATGGGTTAAAGACTTAAACATTAGACCTGAAACCACATACCGGTTCTTTCTGAGGAGCTGTTATTTCACATCCTACCTTTTTAAGATTTTAAGATATTCCAACAAGCAAGAAAAACTAGTACAATGCAAGGAAAAATATCAAAAGCAATTGTGAATATATCAGCAACTTCAGCATTACCCAGGAGCTTCCCAGAAATGAATCTCAAGTTTTACCCTAAACTTACTAAATTATAAACCACATGTTAACTAGATGCCCAGATGACTTTTATGCTTACTAAAATCTGAGCACCAAAATATTTCTGAATAAATCAACCTCCATCATTTCCCAAAACACCAGAAATCAATGGGCCCCTCAACTAATGCCACATTCACGAGGCTGGCTTCTAACGCACAGCCAAGAACTGCGCACTCTGCTCTCTCAATGGGAATAATACTGAGCCACTGAGAAGGCAGGAAATGGCACTGCAGTCCATTTGCAATTTCAGCCAGCTTAGTTCCATTAAACTTGGATTTCTAGGAGGCCAGGGTCCCGTTTCACAGAAGAAGTCGCATAAACTATCCGTGTCGGGGCACTGATTCATACATGGACAGGCAAAGGGAGCCGCGAATCCCCTTTCTCCATCCCGGGCCAGCTCGCTGCGGGCGCAGGCGTTTCCAGGCACCCAGGCCGGGTCCGCCCGCGGGCACTGGCCGGGCGGGGCCCCCGGAGGTGGGGTGCGGAGTCGCCTCTGGGGGGCGGAAGCGAGCCGCGGTGCCGGGGCGGAGTCGCGAGCGGCAGGATTGTTGCAACAAGGGGCGGAGCCGAGCCGCGAAGACACCGGCGGCCGCGGCGGGGCTCGGGAGCGCGGCCCTTCTGGGTGGGACGCGCGTGTCCCCGCGCCGTGCCGTGGGCACTTACCGGCCAGGCGGGGGCACCTGCAGCCGCCGTCCCCATGGGGCTGTGTCTGCCCTGTCTCGGGGAGCCCGAGCCTCCCTCGCCGGACCCTGTGAGTAAGGCCGCGTCTGCGCGTCGCCGCCCGCGCCGCGCGCACCTGTTCGCGGGACGGGCGCTGCGGGAGGGGGCGGGGGAGGGGGCGGGGGAGGGGGGGAGCCGGCGCCGCGAGCACCCGGCCGGGCGGTTGGACGCGGGGGGCGCGCGCCGCAGAGCCCGCGGGTGGGCACCCCGGTGGCGGAGTCGTGCGGCCGCGCCCCGAGGGACCTTGGGGTCCTGCCCGCGGCACCTGGGCCGCCGCCTCCGTGGTCCCCCCACTTCGGTTACATAAAAATTGCCCGAAGGCAACTCCTGGGTCTTTTTCGCCGACTTGGGCCAAATTGGAAGTTGGTGGGACCCGACGCGGGCGGTGTGGGGGGCGGGCCATTCTTGGCGACGCGGGAGACGGGGTGCAAATGAAATGCCTCTTTTTTCCTGAACTGGAGTGTTGCGTCTTCTAAGTGGGAGATGTGCATTTTCCTGTGTCTGTATCAACTGTTTAAAGAAGGTGCTTAAAGTCCCTTACTCCCGAGCTTTCTTGGATATTGTATTAGTAATCCCTTTATGTCCTTTAAAAAAAAAAAGTATTTTATGTGGTACAGAGTTTATAATTTGTAAAGTTGCCATATTTAGCAATTAAACACAGGACGCCCATTTCAATTGTCAGATAAACAAGGAATGCCCTTTAAAAGTAGATTTCTCGCACACAGTAATGGGGGTTACTTATTCTAGGAATTATTCGTTGTTTATTGGAAATCCAAATGTAACTTAGCGATTTGTGGTTTGTGGTACACTGCATTTATTCTTTTCGTAGCTTTCAGTTTTTAACGGTATCTTTACATGAGTATTCCTTACTGGGAATTGATAACAGAAAACCTACATTCCTGCCTAGCAAAAAATTCGTTGAAAGACATTAGTTATTTAAGAAAGAGCATTAACTCTTCAGCCATTTGATTATAGGTACTAAAAATGACCTGGAAGTTGGAACCAGAAAGTTCCCCTTGTCTTTCTTGCTACAGTTGCTTTTAAATGTTGTTAATTTTGTTTATCTGGCTGTTGATAAAATCCTAATCTGTCAGTATTTGTTAAACCCCACCCATCCCCTTAGATAACCATCTGGTTCAGTAGTGAGTGCTACTTTATTGTTGAGGTTTTTCTTGATCACACTAAATAAAATAGATCCCCTACCATAACACCCATCCTTCTCTTTCTTATCCTTCCTATATCCCAACTACTTACTACCACCTGGTACATATTTACTTGACTATATTTGATTGTGTGCCCTCGTTGTAATTTTAAGTTTCATTTGAGTGGAAACATTTATCTGAGTTTTTTCATTGCTGTATCTCAGCACCGAGGCAGGTTCTGTAGACATGACAGGCACTCAGTAAATACTGTATTTGTACAATGAATGAATGAATTGGTATGGGGAAAAAAAGGGAATTACTAGCATAGCTCCCAAGAGAATGCTACTTACTGTCTTATTATTTAAAGATTTTATAATTCATACATGATATAGAAAATTATTGTTTCCCAACCTAGAACAGTACCTTTCATCATTTCCTACAGTTCTTCCTGTCATACACAGGGAGATTCTCCCACTTCATCCATGAACCTTTCTTAAAAACACCAACCTACTTCAAACTCCCTTATAATTGGCAGTATTAAACCTTGTATTATTAAAGGTTATTTGTGTTATTGTCCTGACTTGCTTGTAAGCCTTTTTTTTGAACCCAAGGAAATAGATTATTTTATAGACCAACCTGTGTTGTGTTATATGTGTGTGTATTTGTACATATAGTATATGACATACAGTATGTATCATACATGTTTTAGCATGCTCCTATTTGAAGGTGTGTTCATTAATTGTGAGAATGAGATTCAGAAAGTCGATTAGTTTATAAAAGTATAGTACTGGCACTCTTAGACCATTTTGGGGCAGTACTAAACATTTTTCGATGAACTGTTATATTACGTTGAATATATAGATAGGTATGTAAATTCCATGCTAATGTTTGGTTTTATTTTAAAACATATTTGTTACATATTTTCCTTAGGAAGAGAAAAGAGCAAAGCTTGCAGAGGCTGCAGAAAGAAGACAGAAGGAGGTGGGACTAAAAATGAAATTTTACCTGTTTAGAGAATTTAGTACTTTATTCTTGATAGATGTCTATGACTAGTAGTATTTATCCATTATCCATATCTATTAAATTTATATTTAAAGGTAATTATTTTTCAAAACGATCTCTGTGTTTCTATAGGCTACATCAATGCACTTGTATTATCTAATATATGAAAACTATTACACATATGTATTCTATGTGAGATGTCCCTTTAACGGCAGTATTCCCTGGGATAAAATGACCATGCCTAATAAAACACTGACAGATATGAAATAAGTTTAGGAGAAAAATTTGTACAGTTTCAAAATACCAAATGAAAAAAATGATAATTTTTTTACATAAAGCTGTTGTAGAAATAGTCTAATTCTTTGTTACCAAAATAGACCAATACCCCGCTTCCAAAGCAAAAAACCAAACAGACAAAAAAAGTCCTTCAATACTAATTTTTATTGTTGTTTTGTACCCCTTAAATTTCTTAAAGGCTGCATCCCGGGGCATTTTGGATGCTCAGTCTGTGGAACAAAAGAGAAAGCGGAAGGAAAAAATAGAAAAACAAATCGCTACATCTGGGGGAGCACCTGAAGGTGGACTTAGAGTAAGTATTAAAATTTAGTTAAAATTTAAATTTACCTGGAATTTTAAAAAACTTAAGTAGCAATCCATTCAATAATGTTCTATTGATATGGGTTGCCAGAACATTATGAATTAATTTAAAAGCGTGAATAATACATTTATCTGGAATAGGTTTACGTCCTTTTCCCAAAATTCAAATGGAGTTTTCCTGATTATCTTAATACTTCATATAATTAATACTAATCTTAAATGTGTAGAAAAGTCAAATATTATGGAAAAGTATAAAGGAGTCAGAATCACCCAAATCCAGTGTCATTTTGAAACATCATTTCTCGTTTCCACTTACACATCAATCCTACTAAATTCTGTTACACTGTAAATTTGTTTTTGTAACCTACAATGTGTTTACTCAGTGATTTGATATTTTTGCTCTTCTCATGGTCACTCATACCACAGTTATGGAAATGTTAATTTGGGCAGTAGGGTGCACCCCAGTGAGTGTGACACATGCACCTCCCCATGTAACAATCGCAGCTCTTGTCACTGGAAATATAATGGTGGGCAAATTAAATGAGGCCCTTGAACTTGGGGATCTTTGCAACCTATTAGGAGCATCTGGGTTTTATTTTGCATGTTAAGACTTAGAAAAATAGGGTTCACATACCACTTATTTAGCCAATTCAATCAATTCAGTTTACTCTCAAAACTATAGATAAAGACATACATGTTTGTGGGGCAGGCAGTTTAGGAGCATTCTAAGTGCAGATGTGATTCTGGCTCGGAATGTCACACAGAGAAGATTTACCTGTGTTTTATAATTGTATGAGACTTTATCTAATTTCACTTAAATGAAATTAAAACACTTTTGATTGTTAACTTTATAAATGTATTAAGTAATTGGTTTCAATATTGAAGTAAATAGCCATGACCATTTTGCTTAGTTTTTTAATATACCCCTGACAATGGAATAGAATAAACTTAATATAAAGTAAAACAGTTGGGAGATAGAAGGTAAAATACTTTATGAAAAGTATAGATGCTTACTTTCAGTATTCTGTTGCGATAAAGATTTGTGTCATCAGGTTTACTTCATAGAGGTTTCTCAAAAACAATTCGTGAAAATTAAATTACAGGACTGATAATGATGCTGAGATTGATTTCGTAGTAGGAAAAAAAAATGAATTACTAAGTGACTTAAAGCCACATACAATGTTATAAGAAAATAATACTTTATATTTTGTCAGAATTAAGAAGGTACTTATTTTACAACTCCTCAGCTAACAAATTTAACATCAACTCTTAAATTCTACGAAAGAAAGGGCTGTCTTAATTAGCCCTAAAGCTTCCATGCCCTGAAGCCTATAAATTAAACATAAATTAGGCTTTATACCGCTTCTGGTCCCTCAGAAGAGCTCACAATGAAAAACATCCCAATGTAAATTTAGTACCTTTATCTCTTTGAATGTTGTTCTTACAGGAAATCTCTCTGGCTTCCCTAATAAAAATGGCCCTCAAGGCCATCAGACTGGGCAGTGGTGAGAAGATTTTCCCAGTAAGAGTGGCTCATTCTCATGAACCAACTACCGTTGCCACTGTCTTTTTTCCATGGAATATTCCTAACCACTTCTACCATCAACACACTGGCTTTAAGGGGCATTCTGCTTTCCCCTTGACCACATGCACGGTTCATCCAGAGTATTCCCTTAAGTTCATAATAAAATGTAGGGGGCTCAAGGATAACAGAAGGGAAAATGCAAGGCAGAGAATAACTTTAATTCTCAATCCCTTTGGCCTAGAGTTCTTTAAGGGCTGCTATCAGGCCTGTTGTTCAGGCTGGCCTGGAATGTCCTGGAATGTACACAGAGTCCTCCTGATCTGACCCGACTCCATAGTATGAGGAAAATGTCCTTTTCCCGTCTGCCTGCCCTCCACACAGTCACCTCTTGTCTAGCTCTGCCTCTTCCCAGCATAATACTCAGCACTGTCCTTTGGAAAGGCAGCCTGATCTTAAGAAGTCAAGGTGATGATGGCATCAGGATGCAGACCAGCATGAGTACAGGCTACACCGCTACAGGAGTAATGGCAGACCTCGAGGACAGTGGCTCTCAGCCCTGGCTGCACATTAGAGACTTAGGAGGAGCTTGCAAACAAGGCTGACAGAATCTCTGAGAGTCGGGTGTAGCCATCAGTACTGGTTTAAGCTCCCCAAGGCCATCTCATGTCAAGCCAGATTGAGAATCGCTGCTCTAGTGTTTTTAACTGTAGTCCTAAGAGATAGATACATTGTGAAAAAGAGAGTCCCGTGCTAAAAAATTGTTTAAAATTCTGAATACTATATTGTACACAGTATCCCTTTCTTGAAGATTAAAAAGGGTACAGTAATCAAGTCTCTAAGACGTTCTGCAATAAAGGAAAGCAAGTTTATTTGGAATAAACCTTATTTTTTTAAACGTATTTATAGCCCCAATAATAGATCTTCGATATACTTGGAAAATACTACCCAATAGACTTAAAATATCTCTGGTCCTGTCCCAATGGCTGTTTTAGAACTTATTATTGCGGATTTAATCAGAACAACAAATGGAATAATTTCTCAACTCAAGCAAGGCAAAGACTGCCAAACCATTATTTAATAGTTTCTACCATTTCTCGGTTCTGTGCCTCAAACAAGAATTCCTTTATTTTCATTTTGTAACTTCATTGTTGTTTTTGATTGGTGGTGTTTTTGTGGGGGTTTTTCCTTCACTGATTATTGGATATTTCGATTTTAGCTACCCATTAATTTGACCAGATATTTTTCTATTTTTAAATGATCATATATCTTCTTTCAGACACTGACTGCGAAGTGAAATTTTACTAAGCACTGCTATTAGTTTGCATTTGCATATCCCAGCAACTTTCAGCCTTTTTCATCTCATGGGACACAAACGAATTACTAAAATTCTGTGGCACATCAAAAAATACATTATATTTTTTGCCAATAAGACAAAAAAAAAGTATAATTTTGACTCATTCACACCGGATGGCTATTGTGTTGGCCGATGTCATTTTTCTATTTGACAGTCTACGGGAAAAGAGGTCAGTGCCCCTGACTAAATAGTCTGGTATCATGTGTTTTCAAAATTCTCGTGGCACGCCTGTGTGCCGCAACACACTGGTTGAAAATCGCTGGCATATCCCATCGTCCTCTCTTTGCCTGTTTCTTCACATATTACATATTATTATGTAACCCTAAATAAAATTACTTTTCTCTGTATGTTTTTATTTTCTAGTGGACCGTTTCATAAAGGATAATATGAGTGAGAGTCTCCTGCCAATGACTAGTATCTGCAATCAAGTAGACATCCTCCATTTAACTTACTCTCTTTGAATAAATGGAGATTTAGACTTTGTAATTTTAGTGCCATTAAACGCAGTGCTCTTTCAGTATGGAAATATTAAACATGCTTTTGATTTCCAGACTTAGAAAATGGCCAGAACTTTCATTGAATACTTATTTTCCTACATTTGCTTCTTTTGCAAGAGGTGGATAATAGTTAAATTTAAATCGTGAATATATCCGCATCGCATGTGAAGATTTTGCATACATCTCAAATATTAAAATTTACAATTTCATTTTTCCTCCTAGCTATTTATAGTTGTGCTGCTTAGCCTGATAGTTCCTTTTGTTTCATTATATAATGAAGACTTTTGCTTAAACTGTATGGATTTAGTGCCTTTAAACTGATCATCAGGGAAAACCTTGAAAAATCATTTGAAGGGGTTATGTGAAGGAACACTGTAAATTTTTATAACTTACTATAATGAATATTTGTAGAAAAGATTTAATTTTTCCTAATTTAGTTTTTACTTGTGTAGCTTTATAAACTTTAACAGATATTTCACATTATAATAATTATTTTGCTTGAGTTTAAAATTATATATTAGTGTGGTACCATCAGAGGGCAGTGATGTGCTGTTGTACAATATTAAATTCAGCTCCATGGAGATCTTTATAGTAACTGAATGAGTTAAACTAAGAATCTAGATGATCATACTGACTGGCAATGTATTTGTCCAGATTTCATAGATGTTTGTATTCTTTTGTATTTGTTAAAAAGTGGTCATAAGATTTATACAGATAAGCATTTGCCAAGACAAATATAAATGTATGAAATATAAACGTGTAAGTACTGTATTTTAAAAGGACTACTTTAAACATAAAAATATTATGAGGTAATTCTGTATGATGCATAGTTATAAACTTTGTAGGTTTCTATTACTAACATGAGTTTTATAGCATTTTTTTTTAAATATTTGATTGACTTCAGAGAAGAAGGGAGAGAGACACGTCAATGATGAGAGAGAATCCTTATTGGCTGTCTCCTGTATGCCCCCTACTGGGGATGGAGCCCGAAACCCGGTATGTGCCCTGACAGGGAATCAAACTGATCTGGTTCATAAGTTGATGCCCAATCACTGAGTCACACCAGCTAGGCGCATTTTTGTTTTTTGAATATTTCTGTTTAATATATAATGAGCTAAAATAGAAGAATCACTATATATTTTAATGAGCTATTGTGATCGCTAACTCTTTTGGATGGCAAGACTGTAACCTGAGCCCTATAGTAGAATCTGTGGCTACTGTCAATAGGGACAAAATACACTGAGTGGCCAGATTATTATGACCACCCCGTCAGTACAATGAAGTGAATTAGTTATGCAAATAATAATAATAAAACCTTGAGAGTATTTGCTTAGGAAGTTTTCAATATTCAGTATTTTTGGAAGTGTCAATGAAGTACTGATGGGGTGGTCAGAATAATCTGGCCACTCAGTGTAGACCAGCTCATTTGATTTACAGGAAGAAAACAGCCCCTGTCTCGCTCCTCCCTACCATAAGACTTGTGTTATATTGCAACATATTGTGTATGTTAATTTTAATGAGTTTGAACTATAATATAGGTCTCTTGACTACTCATTGGAAAAACTAGCTTTTCTGTTATAGCATGAAGTATTTCATGATATCCATGCAAATATATAGTTAGGCTCAATTTTCTTCATCTCTTGGAGGATTAGTGTGGTGTTTTTGTTCATAAAGGATAGTGAAATCATTGAGTTGCATTTCAGAAATAAAATGTTGACTTTATGAACATGATTAACTTTTCCAAGGCTGAAAGGAAAAAGGATCATTGACAGCTGAATGGATGTAGAACTAGACGTATCATCCTTGGACTGTGCAAATCCTTCCATCTGTTTTAAAACAGAAAGAACAATTTTATCTTGCACTACATCCTAAAGAATTACCACTTGGGTTAGTGTAAATAAAAGGTCTACATCTAGGGGATACTGCCCTATTTCCAAATACCACGCTTACTTAACTGTTGAACCACGCATGATAGGCTGGTGTATTGCTTTATGGAACAGTGGGATGTCCTGCTCCAGCCAACCATGACCTGCCTCCATGGCTTCCCAAAACCACCTAAGTTACATGGGCTAAGGGGTGATACTCAAATGTTAGGAATAGTGTCACAAAGGGGAAGGGAAAGGGGGAGACTAAATGCCTATTGGGAAACCTGACTAAATTACTAAAGAAAATGTGTACACACACGTACAGATGCAGCCACGTACAGGGCATCCCTCTCATAAAGTTATGCATCACTTCCTAATGAAAACCATATTTTAGAGCCAATTTACCATAATTCATAGTTTAAATAGGGAAACATAATGCTTAATATGGCACCCAAACACCCCAACCAAATTAGTAAAATGTAAATGTAACAGTGAAATGCACATATGTAACTACTGTGTTAAAATGTAAAATGCCTGAATCACTGCTTTCTTATTCTAGTCACCGAACTATTTATATTAGTATGGCTGGTAACAAAAAGTTGTGTATCACATGGCCTCTTTGTTGACACAGTGCATGATTTTTAAAACATCTATATGTGAGGGACACTTGTTTTGCCGATTGCGTTTTCCCACACAATTTTTTGTTATAAATTCTGTATTGCCATATAGGATTATAAATATGCATTTTTTCCCATATAAAAATTGGCCTTGGCTCTCTCTGTTTAACAAAATTTTATCTCACTACATCTTAAATAATGAGAACTTGGGTTAGTGGTTAGGTTAACTTCAGTGATGCTTTCATCTCTTTGGGATTAATGAGAACAGAGCTAAGAGCCGTTTGGTGTGTTCATACAATCCCTGAATTATAAGTAGGCATGTTTCTTCTCCTATACTCGAAAAAGGAAATATTTTTAGTCTCCTCTTTCCTTAGAGAAATAATACTGTAAGAGGGTTCAGCTATCATCCTTGGTGTACCCCAGGAGCATTTGGCATAAAACTTGAATTTTCTTTTTCTCTTCCAATAGTTCAACTTGTTTATTTGCTGAAGAATCATGCTATGCCCTTAGAACAGTGGTTCTCAACCTTGGCTGCACATTAGAATCACCTGGGAATCTTTTTAAAATCCTGGAGGATGAGGCCCAGAAATCAGGATTTTAAAAAGATTCCCAGGTGATTCTAATGTGCAGCCAAGGTTGAGAACCACTGCCTTAGAAGAAAGAGTAACTTGTCAATTTTAATTTGAATAATAACTTCTGCATAACTAAATCAGTAAAAGGTCAGTAGATATGCATTGCCTATCTGTGTTGAGGTTTGAAGTGTATTCCCTTCAACATCTCCAAGCAAGCATCTCAGATTCCCATGACTACTGTATGTGCTTTAAGTTGGCTCAAATGTGGTACTGTGGCCATTTTCCTTAATTTTCTCAAAAGCCACTGACAGGCATTTGTAGATATAGCAGACTGAAAAAATTCTGATTTCACAGAGATGTTTTTGTCCCAACAACTCAAACCCTTTAAATTTCTCATATGACATGGCTTTTTATTGTCTTGTTCTTCCTCTTCTAGATATGCTTCATCTTACAAATCTTGCCTCCAAATATGATCATTGTGGTTTAAGAACTGAATGTTCATCAAGTACTTGACCTGGATATCATATTTTTATTGTATCCTGAATTGCATTGTCTATTCTTGTAGCACCATACTTGAGTTGTGAAGTTTTGAGTTAATATCTTTCAGCCATAAAAACAGGTTTGAGCAATCTGTTGTAAGTACTTCAAACTTATCTCAAATGGAACTAATTAGTTCTACACAGAAACTGGCTCTCTGTAGGCTATTGCTTGGAATCTATTTCATCCCATAAGTCAGAAGTCAAAGAGTTATCCTAAACTCCTCAATCTACCTAATAACTCCTAACGTACCATTTTCTCATTCTAAATTTTTTAGTTGGAGATTAGAACTATTTAGCATAGGTTTTAAAAAGAATATAAAGTGTCTCATGTAGAAAATGCCTACACAAGATAAAATTCCTACGCAAGATGAAATGAATTAAGCAAGTTTGCAGAATACTAAATATATGAAGGTCAATTCTATTTCTATTTGAAAGATAAAATAATCTGAAAATTAATATTACTCCAATTGTAATATCAAATAGGATAAAATATTTAGGAAAAACAAGTAAAAGATCTGAACTAAAAACTACAAAATGTTGCTGAAATAATTTTTTATGACAAACGGTGAGACATTGCATGTTCACAGACTGGGAGAATCAATATTGTCAAGAGAGCAATTCTCAAGTTGCTCAATGAATTCAATGCAAAATATCAGCAAGGTTTTTCAGGGAAAATGACAAGATGATCCTAAGATTTATATGGAGATTGAGCATGTATAATAGCCAAAACAAATTTGAAAAAAAGAACAGTATTTTCAGTAGGCAGTCAGTAAGAGCGATCTGCATTTGGCCATTTCCTTCTGAATGTGGTCTCATTGTCCATATTCCTGGTGTCGAGTGCCATCCAGCTAGCAGCAGCTAGACCCCAATGTCATTTACCACCCTGTTCTTGGTGACACTTAAATGATGTGATATAGGCAGGAAGAATAATGCCACTCTCCCCCAAACATGTTCACATCCTAATCCCTGGAATCTGGGGAGCATGTTACATTACATGGCAAAAGGTATTTTGCAGATGTGATTCAGTTAATGATCATAACATGGGGAAATGATATCGGATTATCTAGGTGATCACATGGATCCTTAAAAGCAGAGAACCTTTCCAACCTGTGGTCAAAGAGATGTAAACGAAGAAGCATCATTGTGGGATTCTATTGTTTGCTCTGAAGACAGGAAGGGGGACATGAAACAAGGAAATCAGGCAGCCTCTGGAAGGTAGAAAGGGCAAAGAAATGGATTCTCTCTTCAGAAAGGAACACAGTTCTCTGATACCGTGGTAGCCCAAGGAGACCCTCTCATACTCTGACTGCAGTACTGTAACATACATTTGTGGTGTTAACATCAGAAAACAAAATTCATGAAGAGATTAATAGTTTAGTTAACCTAGATATTTTTAACTAAACAAAATTATTTTTAATTATTAAAAATATATTTACAGGAAAAATTTAAGCACAGGAGAAAGTTTTGATGGAAATACTGTTGTTGCCAGTTACTATACAGGGAAATTCAGTGTTCGTTTAGTAACATAAAAATCCTATCACTCAATATCTGTTTTTTGAGAGAGTACAATTGTTCACTGTTCCCAGGTGATTTCATTTCCTACAAAACTTTAATTTTTTTTCCCCCAGAAGGATTACTCCCACTTCCAGCAGCACCACATTACACTATGCCTGTTAAACAACGTCCATATTGTGTCCTAATATAAGGTGACACGAAAATTTGCCTTTGGGTGGTGGACACACAGTGCAATATGCAGATCTTGTAACAAAGAAACCACACCTGAAACCTACATGTTCATGTAGACCAATGTCACCCCAATTTAATGTTTTTTAAAAAAACACACAAAACAACTTCCCTACTAACAGGTTGTGTCTGCTTTGATTAAATCGGTCATGTGGCAGACAGATACTTCATCCCTGACTTTCTGGAGAAAAAAGTTAAAAAGTGGGCGTTTGTTGTTGAAAAATGAGGAAATGACATTAACTCCGACTATAGATCCTCAAGGTAGCAGCACTTGAGGGGCCACCTATGGAAAAACCTAGACTCCACTCTAGCGGTTCTCAACCTGTGGGTCGCGACCCCTTTGGGGGTTGAATGACCCTTTCACAGGGGTCGCCTAAATACATCCTGCATATCAGATATTTACATTACGATTCATAACAG